CAGACTCATCATATTTTTACAGTTTAGATAGGATTTATTCGGCAAACTTTCGAGCTGACGTCATCAATTTTTTGGAGGGGATAAGCAAATATATTTTGACTAAACATTTATTATGCGCTTTATAGCCTTAAAACATCTGCAACATTTCAAAGCATTCTGGTTAGCAGATTAAAAATTAAATTTCAAAATGTTGTTTTATAATTTTGATTTTTTTTCCAAAAATCTGGACGTTTCGGGTGAAAAGTCGATTCGGAGTTGTAAACTACATGTGTAGGACTATGTTATTTTATACAATTGAAAACCCATTTACTATATACAATTTTGAAGTGACGTCATCGCATTAGTGGTGGGGATGATTAGACAAATTTTGGTTAGCGTTTTACCATCTACATGATATTCTTAATATAAGTACAAAATTTCACAACATTCGGTCGAGTACTTTCGGAGATTATCTGTCTAATAAAAATCCGGGACGGCAGACGGACAGACGGACAGACGGACAGACGGACAGACGGACAGACGGACGGACAGACGGACGGACAGACGGACAGACAGACGGAAATGGGAGACCTATTTCTTCGTCTTCTAGGGGTCATGAAAGATCGAGAAAACGTAAAAGTAGAGAGTCGGCCGACGGACTCGATTACAATACTTCCTTTACTTACGCTCGGGAAGTAAAAATCGAAAAATGAAAAATTGTAAAATCGCAAATTTGAAAAACTGAAAATGAAAGAAAATGAAAAAACGAAAAATTGTGATATGGAAAATTTAAAATCGAAGAAAAAGGAAAAAGGAAATTTTCTTATTTCAAAAAATTTGCCAAAGGTTCTGAAATATGATGATTCTCAAACCGAATATTTCGAAAATCTTGGAAATTAAGGAAATCGGAAAATCGGAAATTGAGAAACCCAAAAACTGCAAAATTGAAAATTCGAAGAGTGAAAATTTGGAGAACTTAATAAACGAAAAATTATAATACCGAAAGAAATATTGAAAAAATAAAGAAAATGAAAAAAAGGAAAAATTTCTGATACGAAATCGGGAATGTGAAAATTAAAAAAAAACAGGAAAGTAAAAAATAAAAATCAAGGATAGAAAAACTGAGGAAACGAAAAATTGAGAAATCCAAAAGTTAAATTTGAGAAATTGAAAAATCGACAAATAAAACATTGTAATATCGGAAAATTGCAAATAGAAAAATTGAAGAAACGAAAAGCTGAAAATTTAGAAGTCGAAAAATTGTTTTTTTTTTAAATTGGTCGAAGGTAATTGAGTTTAAAAAATACCTCTAAAAAAGGATAAAAAAACATGAAATGAGTTCCATATAGTAGTAAACACGCCTACCCAACGACATAAAGTTCCTGCGAAAAAACGACGTCTTCGCCACCTACTTCAAACATTTCAGCCTACACCCAAATTTAGTTTGTAATTTGATAAATAAAATGAGTCGCTTTCGACGCCACAGTCCTTATAACCAAGTGTAATTAGTATCATCTCAGTTTATTAATGATTATTGTTAACTATACCATAAACACCCGCAATTTTTGCTTTTATTGTGTGTGAATTCACAGTTCATGTTAAGATTTTTTACTGTTCAATATGTGCAATAGTGCAGATAATACGTGGCACCAAATTTACTTATTCAGACTTCACTTTTTACTCCCCGAGCGTAAGCAAAGGAAGTATTGTAATCGAGTCCGTCGGCCGACTCTCTACTTTTACGTTTTCTCGATCTTTCATGACCCCTAGAAGACGAAGAAATAGGTCTCCCATTTCCGTCTGTCCGTCCGTCTGTCCGTCCGTCTGTCCGTCTGTTGTCCCGGATTTTTATTAGACAGATAATCTCCGAAAGTACTCGACCGATTGTTGTGAAATTTTGTACTTATATTAAGAATATCATGTAGATGGTAAAACGCTAACCAAAATTTGTCTAATCATCCCCACCACCAAAGCGATGACGTCACTTCAAAATTGTACATAGTAAATGGGTTTTCAATTGTATAAAATAACATAGTCCTACACATGTAGTTTACAACTCTGAATCGACTTTTCACCCGAAACGTCCAGATTTTTGGAAAAAAAATCAAAATTATAAAACAACATTTTGAAATTTAATTTTTAATCTGCTAACCAGAATGCTTTGAAATGTTGCAGATGTTTTAAGGCTATAAAGAGCATCATAAATCTTTAGTCAAAAAATATTTGCTTATCCCCTCCAAAAACTTGATGACGTCAGCTCAAAAGTTTGTGGAATAAATCATATCTAAAATGTACAAAATATGATGAGTCTGTACTTGTGATCTATCACTCCATTCATATTTTTTGGATTTGCATATACAGGGTGACTCAAAAAAATTAATGAATGCGTAAATATATTTTATTGATTTAATCAGGAACTACAAAACCGAATGCTCTGAAATCTTGCAGATGTTTTAAGGTCATAAAGAGCATAATAAATGTTTAGTCAAAATATATTTGCTTATCCCCTCCAAAAACTTGATGACGTCAGCTCGAAAATTTGCCGAATAAATCATATCTAAAATGTACAAAATATGATGAGCCTATACTTGTCATTTATCACTCCATTCATATTTTTTGGATTTGCATATACAGAGTGACTCAAAAAAATTAATGAATGCGTAAATATATTTTATTGATTTAATCAGGAACTACAAAACGGAATGCTCTGACATCTTGCAGATGTTTTAAGGTTATAAAGAGCATAATAAATGTTTAGTCAAAATATATTTGCTTATCCCCTCCAAAAACTTGATGACGTCAGCTCGAAAATTTGCCGAATAAATCATATCTAAAATGCACAAAATATGATCAGTCTGTACTTGTGATCTATCACTCCATTCATATTTTTTGGATTTGCATATACAGGGTGATTCAAGAAAATAAATGAAAGCGTAAATTTATTTTACTGATTTACTCAGGAACTACAAAACCGAATGCTTCGAAATCTTGAAGATATTTTAAAATTATCATAAGCATGGTAAATTTTTGATCAAAATGTATTTGGTCGTCCCCCCTAAAAAATTTATGACGTCACCCCAAAATTTTGCTGAAAAAATGCCATCTTCAATGTGTAAAGTATGATGAGTCCATACTTGTGATTTATCACTGCATTAAAATTTTTAATATTTGCTTATACAGGGTGCCTGAAAAAAATTAATGACGTAGTGAATTGATTTTGCAAAACTGAATACTTAGAAATCTTGACGTTTTGAAGTTATTGTAAGCGTGGTAACTGTTTAATCAAAATGTATCTCTTTATCAACCCCAAAAAAAATTCATTACGTCTTCTCACAATTTTGCTGAATAAAGTATATGATCTGACTATACTTGTAAAATTTTTAATATTTGCTTATACAGGGTGTCTGAAAAAAATTAATGACGGAGTGAATTGATTTTGCAAAACTGAATACTTAGAAATCTTGACGTTTTGAAGTTATTGTAAGCATGGTAACTGTTTAATCAAAATGTATCTCTTCATCAACCCCAAAAAAAATTCATTACGTCTTCTCAGAATTTTGCTGAATAAAGTATATGATCTGACTATACTTGTAAAATTTTTAATATTTGCTTATACAGGGTGTCTGAAAAAAATTAATGACGGAGTGAATTGATTTTGCAAAACTGAATACTTAGAAATCTTGACGTTTTGAAGTTATTGTAAGCATGGTAACTGTTTAATCAAAATGTATCTCTTTATCAACCCCAAAAAAAATTCATTACGTCTTCTCACAATTTTGCTGAATAAAGTATATGATCTGACTATACTTGTAAAATTTTTAATATTTGCTTATACAGGGTGTCTGAAAAAAATTAATGACGGAGTGAATTGATTTTGCAAAACTGAATACTTAGAAATCTTGACGTTTTGAAGTTATTGTAAGCATGGTAACTGTTTAATCAAAATGTATCTCTTCATCAACCCCAAAAAAAATTCATTACGTCTTCTCAGAATTTTGCTGAATAAAGTATATGATCTGACTATACTTGTAAAATTTTTGATATTTGCTTATACAGGGTGTCTGAAAAAAATTAATGACGGAGTGAATTGATTTTGCAAAACTGAATACTTAGAAATCTTGACGTTTTGAAGTTATTGTAAGCATGGTAACTGTTTAATCAAAATGTATCTCTTTATCAACCCCAAAAAAAATTCATTACGTTTTCTCAAAATTTTACTGAATAAAGTATATGATCTGACTACACTTGTAACTAATCATTGCATTCAAATTTTTTAACTTGCTTATACAGGGTGACTCAAAAAAAGAAATGAATCAGTCACTTTATTTTAGTGAATAAATCAAGAATTGCTACACTGAATATTTTGAAATCTTGCAGATGGTTAAAATTGATTGTGAGCATGGTAAATTGTTAATGAAAATATATCTGTTTATTCCCCCGAAAAAATTCATGACGTCATCTACAATTTTTGCCAAAAAAGTTTAACTCAAAATGTGCAAAATATGATGAGTTTTAACATAAGCAACTGTGGCCTGTGGTTTAGTGGAGGTGGAGTGTGCAGTGCAATTAGAAGTTCCGGTAACAGATCCCGGCACTTCCAACTTTTTTCGCCCATCAAATTAAGAACAGCACTTCCGATTTTCGCAACAATAATGTTATAGTATTTATTTATTTGTTATTGTGTGTTCGTGAATAAGCACCATAAATAGCAAATGTTGAAATTTTTTTTTGTGATCGGAAGAATATCTCTTAATCATTTTATATATTATCAATACATGATTAACTTCGACTGTTTATGTTTATACATCGAGAGAAGCAGAGAAAAAGTACATATGCATTTGCTTCAGTTACGCCACTGACCGTGTCATTTCTTTATCGCACGTTGAGACATAGTTTATATAAACAAACTCCCAGCCATAGCAAAAAGCGGAAGTTGGAAACGACGAACGGCGCGGGGGGAATCACTTGTTTGGGTGGCGAGACGAAACAGTTGCGATTGCGAAATGCGAAGCCAATTCGAAAAAAACTGTGGACGAGTGAGTGCTTGCTGAAAATTCATTGAGAATATATATCTCCAAATTTTAATAATTGTTGCCAGGTAAGTGCAGATATTTTTTCCAATTCTTTCAATTAATTTGTTTGCCATTAGCACAATAATTTCATTTTCAATTTTTGTTGATTGGTTTCCACTTATAGATTTTGAAATTGGACATAAATGATTAATACACCCAACAATAGTTGGAAAATTTTAAGTAAGAAGTGTTGCTCTTCCTCACAATTTAATTTTTACCGTCAAAACTTTAATAGGTCACAAACATTTCGGAAGTGGCCTCCATCTTTCAATACATATAACCAAATGTATCAATCATTTCAAGACACTTCGTATAACCGCGATAGAAATATACGCCAGTGGACACTTTTTCATTTCTTTCATTTAAATTGCGCAATAATTTAATTTTCAGTGTCTTGCCACTGGTTTCTACTTATAAGTGGATTTCGAAATAACAGTGTTCATACATGATTTCATACATCCACCGCTCGTTGGAAAACGATAAATAAAGAACGATGTTCTTGCATTCGTACAAATTTATGTCCACAATCAAATTTGAAAAACTGGCCGAGGGATATTTTGACAACTTTCCTCAGCTATAAAGTATAGTAGAAAAAAATGGCCTTTGCGAAAAATTCTAAAATAAATTTTGCAAATTTTGCTAATAAGTTAACATTAAAATATGTGTGGACCGTAAAACAGTATGTTGAGCGTCTGTTTCAAGTGAATTTTTTCGTAAAAGAAAATGTGTTATGACGGCATCAACATTTAATCAAGGACATTATCAATTTTAAGAAGGATACTGACATTTCATAAAAAAAGAATTTTCGAATTCATACTGTTTTGTGTCATTGTGAATAAGTAATATTGAAAACAATGAATGCATTGGTAAACCACAAGCAAATAGTTAGAATTTTGCATACTTTACAAACGATTAATTCAACAAAATTTTTAGAAAACCTCAGCAAATCTTTCGAAGGGCGGATTGTACGATCAAAGATAAATGCAAACGTCGTCAATTATTTTATAAGGGGAATTTATTTTTGGTTCGCTTTTGAGCATTCGCACAATTTTTACTTCGGGAGCGTAAGCAAAGGAAGTATTGTAATCGAGTCCGTCGGCCGACTCTCTACTTTTACGCTTTCTCGATCTTTCATGACCCCTAGAAGACGAAGAAATAGGTCTCCCATTTCCGTCTGTCTGTCCGTCTGTCCGTCTGTCCGTCCGTCTGTCCGTCTGCCGTCCCGGATTTTTATTAGACAGATAATCTCCGAAAGTACTCGACCGATTGTTGTGAAATTTTGTACTTATATTAAGAATATCATGTAGATGGTAAAACGCTAACCAAAATTTGTCTAATCGTCCCCACCACTAATGCGATGGCGTCACTTCAAAATTGTACATAGTAAATGGGTTTTTAATTGTATAAAATAACATAGTCCTACACATGTAGTTTACAACTCCGAATCGACTTTTCACCCGAAACGTCAAGATTTTTGGAAAAAAAATCAAAATTATCAAACAACATTTTGAAATTTAATTTTTAATCTGCTAACCAGAATGCTTTGAAATGTTGCAGATGTTTTAAGGCTATAAAGAGCATCATAAATCTTTAGTCAAAAAATATTTGCTTATCCCCTCCAAAAACTTGATGACGTCAGCTCAAAAGTTTGTGAAATAAATCATATCTAAAATGTACAAAATATGATGAGTCTGTACTTGTGATCTATCACTCCATTCATATTTTTTGGATTTGCATATACAGGATGACTCAAAAAAATTAATGAATGCGTAAATATATTTTATTGATTTAATCAGGAACTACAAAACCGAATGCTCTGAAATCTTGCAGATGTTTTAAGGTCATAAAGAGCATAATAAATGTTTAGTCAAAATATATTTGCTTATCCCCTCCAAAAACTTGATGACGTCAGCTCGAAAGTTTGCCGAATAAATCATATCTAAAATGTACAAAATATGATGAGTCTGTACTTCTCATTTATCACTCCATTCATATTTTTTGGATTTGCATATACAGGGTGATGCAAGAAAATAAATGAAAGCGTAAATTTATTTTACTGATTTACTCAGGAACTACAAAACCGAATGCTTCAAAATCTTGAAGATATTTTAAAATTATCATAAGCATGGTAAATTTTTGATCAAAATGTATTTGGTCGTCCCCCCTAAAAAATTTATGACGTCACCACAAAATTTTGCTGAATAAATCTTATCTAAAATGTACAAAATATGGTGAGTCTCTTCTTGTGATTTATCATTCCATTCAAATTTTTTCGATTTGCATATACAGGGTGACTCAAAAAAATTAATGAATGCGTAAATTTATTTTATTGATTTAATCAGGAACTACAAAACCGAATGCTTTGAAATCTTGCAGATGTTTTAAGGTTATAAAGAGCATAATAAATTTTTAGTCAAAATATATTTGGTTATCTTCTACAAAAAACTGATGACGTCAGCTCAAAAGTTTGCCGAATAAATCGTATCTAAAATGTACAAAATATGATGAGTCTGTACTTGTGATTTATCATTCCATTCATATTTTTGGATTTGCATATGCAGGGTGACTCAAAAAAATTAATGAAGGCGTGAATTTATTTTATCGATTTAATCAGAAATTACAAAACCGAATGCTTTGAAATCTTGGGAATATTTTAAAGTTATTATAAGCATGGTAAACTTTTGTTCAAAATGTATTTGTTCATCCCTCCTAAAAAAATTGATGACGTCACCCTTAAATTTTGCTGAATAAATCCTATCTAAAATGCAAAAAATATAATGAGTTTGTACTTGTGATTTATCATTCCATTCATATTTTTTAGATTTTCTTAAGAGGTGGTTCAAAAAAATTAATGAAGTCAATTTATTTTATTGATTAAATTAAAGGCAACACTTATTGTTAGTATTACACCCCAACCAACCCAATTTGGTAGACACAAAATTTGTTAAAGGAAAAACTCGGTTGAAACATAAGGGTATCACGCTTATTTACATCTATTTTAACATTACAGACGTGCGTTTGTTTTGTTCGTTGACTAGGTTCCGCGAATGTGGAATAGACATGTTTATAATCAACCAATTGTGAATTTCACCGTCAAGAATTAAAATAAAACCCAATGTTTTATATAATAAGCGGAAGTCGAAGCAATAAAACCGATGGTCGTTTTGTTTACAGTTTCTCTGTTTGACTCTCACGTATGCTGTTACGCTTGTCATCTTAAATAAGAATGTTTATACATAAACGATTTTCAGTTGCCCCTCATATTACTAGACAGTGGATTTCTGTCGGGCTACGTCACGATTATTGGGGGGGACGTGCTGGATTCCATAAATATAATTAACGATTTATTAATCAAACGGCTAAGTAAATGAGAACGGGAATTAACAGCAGAGTGCAACGAAACAACGTTATTCTAATCTCAAATAAACGAAGTGCAGTCCGCAACGGCAATGTTTTTTTTGGCCTTGCCTAGCCCGACAGAAATCCGCTCTCTAGATATTACACACCGGCGCCGTATACGTGAGTAAATTGTTTCGTTATTTTATTGATTATAAGAAATCAATATTCAAAACGACCCAATTCATTTTCCCGAAAATTTGGGAACACAATAATTTTATTCTTAGTATTACACTACATCTATCCCAACTGATATACGTGTCCTTGCAAAAATGTTGATGACGTCATCACAATTTTTTTTTAAATTCCCACTACAAAAATGTAATGAGAAAAAAAAACATAATAGGCATGCAGTCGTCAAGTTTCCGACAGCGAGGGAAGTACTGTCTAAACTCTTTAGACCAATTTTTTTTTATAACGATATGTATATTTAAAGTTCCGGATGTATCGATTCAATTTATTACACTACACACACTTCATAAACTTCACTCGAGATTTGTATCTAGTAAGTTCATTTATGGTATTTGATCTAATCTTAAACGTTAATTCATTTTCAGATGAAAGACCTTGAAAATTTTCATCAGTGAAATTAATAATATCATGGACCGGGGGATGTGGCGTTTGGGTGAAACGTGCAGCTTAGCTGGTGGTTTTGCGAAGAGGGGATATAGAGTATATAATATGTGGCAGATTTTTTACGCATTTAGGCGCCAGTAGTCATAACAATCGTAGTACGAGCAGAATTACGTTCTCGTTCTCTATTTTTATTCAAACAAGGCATTCTAATCAGGATTTTTAAGTTTTCACGTATTAATACAACCTGAATTCATTTTAAAATTGTTTTTCACAACTACTGAGGCACAAACATTTGAATATAACCCAAAATAAACTGCACAAACCTTTAGGCAAAAATTAAACAAACACAAATGTATATTTTAAAAACTGCAACAAAATAGGGTTTGTTTTTCGGTTGATGTCCGTGATATTTTTCGCTAGTAAAATATAGAAATTTTTATTAAAACAATGTAGAGCAGAATAAACGCTTGTAATAAAACAAAAATAAACATGTGTTTCACACCAAAAAATAACACCAACAAAGTTTTACCATTTATTAAATTTTTTATGTATGCAAATTTCATGGATTCAAAAAATTGGTGCGTAATCATTAAAACATCTTAATTGAAACTAGATATTTTCGTGAATATATTATATAAGTTTTTTCTTTATAGCTTCAGCAACATTCTGAAGATGCTAAGTAAACAGATTTTAATTTGCATTCCATGCGTTATAGATCGTCTGAGTTAAACTATGTTTATTAACCGTCCAAACTTTTTCTTAGCACAACCCATACAACCAGAAGAAATGGAATTTCAAGAGAAACTTACGTAACAATATTTTAAAATGGTAGCTGTCTAACAAAAATTGAGAAATTTACATTTTCGTATTCTGAGTTGTAACCTTAAAAAATACCCATTCATCAAATGACTCTACTACAATGCACGGTCGGTTTGAAAAAACACAAAACTCACCTACACTTCCCATTGTATTTACCATAAGTTTATTTAAATTCATTGTACGAGCATTTAAAATTAATTTATGTATACATTTTCCGTTAAATTGACAAAGAGTT